TATATATATATATATACACAATTTAACAAACAGTTTCATAGTAATACTTTTTTTATTAACTCCAATCAATTGACATCATGAGTAAAAATTGAGTGTAATGAATTATATGGATTTTGTGCTATTGTCTATTTGAAATGTACAAGCATAATCTGCAAAATAAACAACGGAAGTGTTAAAACTCTCAGAATTAAAGAAGTTAAGCACTCATCTTGATGATTATGCACACCAAATAGCTTACAATAGCTGTATTTTAATGTAAAAACAAACAACTAAACTGCTTCAAACTAAGTCCTTCAAGGATTTATAAATAATGTCGAGTTTTAAACATGATTCTATTGCGATAAAAGTGAATTTTTCTTGTTTATTTAAAAATTTAAAGGTTTTTGTAGCTAAGAGCCCAAATTTTTCTTTAATTCGTTACATTTTAGTTTTACATCTCAATAACAAAACGCAATTATATCGATTTTAGTTGCTGTGGTATTAATTTACATATTTGCACAGTGGATGATTTATAACATTAATATACAAATTTCTAGTGAGGCTTTTCCGCAGTAAAAGAGTTATTTTTATGCAATAATATGAAGGGCAAAAAAGAGCAATACATAGATAATACAAATTATCATTTTTAAGAATAATAAAATTTGTTCTATGTATATACCTATCAGGTAATCGGGACAGTCTTAAATTTAATTGTGAAACAAATGATTTTCATTAAAAAAACTAAAGGGTTGATCTCAAAAATAAAAAAAGGATAGTTAAAAAGTAGGGACTATTAAGAATAATAAACTAGTTAAAAATAAAACCAGTTGAATGTAAGTCAAAAGTACGAAAAAATAGGGATTATTTTAAACTTAAGAATATTCCGCAGTTTCAAATTTTTTTTTATAATAACGTATTTAGAACAAAAATACGTAGAAAGCACGGAATATGCGTCAGTATTCGACATACTGGTGACATATTTAGAAACTCTATATGCCTAAAAAAATTATGTTCTAGTTTTAGAAATGGGAAAGAATGAGAAGGGACTTACCCAAAGGCCGCTCTTGTGTCTTAGAGGGTGTTCGGACAATTGGCAGGCTCGACCTCGCCTTGCTCGCTCTCCTAAAGCCCGTGGCCGAAGTCTCGACCTCTGACATGATTCCCGGGTCTTCATCATAAACACTCGATGGTGGTTGATACAGGGAATGACTTTTCTGATTAGGCAGATGACTCTGAAAAGACAACCACAATTTTAGTTTTTTTTTATAAATTGTTTCACAGAATAATAATTTTGAAGAATTTATGCTCTGATTAGGCAGATGACTCTGAAAAAACAACCCCAATTTTATTTTTTTATAAATTGTTTCACAGAGTATTAATTTTGAAGAATTTATGCTCATGAATATTTTTTTTTTAAAAGGTCACCTTTTATAAAAAAAAATCACAGAATAGTTACCTCACAAAAAATGAGACCTTTTCTAAAATACTTACCGAATAGTTGGATTTTTTTAAAAAAAAATACTACTACGTGGAGAATAAACTATGAAAATAAATGTGTGGTAATGACATTTCAGGCAGAAAAAAAACAACGGTTAATAAATTCCGGATAATAAAACCAAATAATTCAAACCGATAATTCCGGTTAATAAAACCAAAATATATGGTATGTAAAGCATTCTCATACACATTACTTAAGTGTAAAGTTCGACCTACAAAATTATTTATAACAATCTAAACATTTTACAAATTACATAAATAAAAATACTGTACTGTAATACTGCAGTTCATACTAATAAAAATACCGTAATTAGAAGAAAAATACGATGAAAATAATTCAAATAATGAAAATAGAATCATTGAAAAGATGCTTTGTGTTTCAAAGATATAATATACAGTATACTGCACTAGAAACAAATGTAACGAGGACTTATTTAAACAATGCAAATATTCAACATTGATTCAAATTACAATAATAATTTTATAATACCTATATCTTTACGCAAATAAAATGAATAAAATTTCTGTAATCTGGACTAAAGACTGGAGCTGGAGTCGAACAATGAGAATATTATTTGAATATGAAATACAAATGCTTTAAAACGCTACGTTTTATGTTTCGAAGGTGAAGCTAATTACTAAACAAATGTAAAAATATGACTTTAGAAACGATTGAGATTAGAAGTTTTGTGTATTCTCAAGTTAAACTTTTAATTACCAAAAATCTCTCTTTGTGTTAATGGAAAAATTTCATTTCTAAAGGGATTTAACGATATATATTTCCATATAAATTTACTTAGTTAAGAAAAAGGAAGAAAAATAAAGTGCTCAATTATGATAGGAAAAAAGAATTTGAAACATAAATTAGAAAACGTAATTGGATGAGAAGACATTTTTCGGTATTCTAAATGATTTAATTATTCACTTATAATGCAAATACTTTTCCGATGAGGAGAAAAAAAATTCATAGCATGTTTTGCATTAATACGCGATAAATTTCAAATGTAAAGAGTTAAAAGAATAAGCGATGATTTAGAAAATTGAAAATGAAGAGGAATAATTCAATTTACTCATTATTTAATTATGTAAGAAATTCAAAGAAGAATTTCAAATGCACGGTAAAAATTACAAAAGGAATTTTTCGTGAAAAGAAATTCTTTACTTCCGATTGAAACCAAACTGCTTTTGGATTTCTTGTGTAAATACTTGATATTAAAATTAAAATTCATTTATGTGTAAATAAAGAATGACTTTCATTCGTGATAAAAAAAATATTACATTTAATATATATTTACTTTAATAATAATAAAAATGTGTAATTAATAACAAATTAGTTTTTTATTGACACTCAAGGCATGAAAAATGAATATTCATGATTATACGTTTAGCAATGCGTTTATTTTACGTTGCTTAAACTTATAGCCGAAATATAAATTTATTTCTTGAAACAAATGCAAATTTTAAAGTATTCCACATGGAAAATATGATAAACATATAAATCCCATGTTTAATTTTACAATTCATTCCAACATGTTTTCTCAAGTTATATTATTCATACACAAATATTTATTTGCATACACCGACATTTAGACACTTTAATTATTCTCTTTTCTATTTAATGATATTTATTTATTCAGATTCTTTTGTTATTACATTGAGCTTATAAGAGTAACTTTTAATTATTGAAAACTATTTTATTTCACAAAACTTAAAATTACAAAATCAAAATCTAGAAAATATAATTCTAATAAATATATTTCTAGTAAATATATTTCTAGTAAATAAATTACTTGTCAATATAATTATAGTTAAAAAATGTAAAACATTATTCCTTATTTTTTTTTAAGTAAAATGTATAAGATATCGGATGTCCAAAGAAAGACTAATAATTTGAAAAATCATTCACTACAAACAAAATGCGATGTAAATATACGGTTTGCAGTGAATTTTATTGCTACCAGTATTTTATTCGTAATGAGTTTTAAAATCAATTACTAGGTTTGTCAACAGATGGCACTGAAAACAAATTTAAATTTTGTAACAATTTAAATTTTTGTTTTCAAATATTATTTGAACCACTATTTAAACACTATTTGTAGCAATATCGTGATCATAAGTTTCCTAAAAGCGTCTGATGAGCGACATGTAATGAAAAAAAAATGCCTTTTCCAAATATGTTGAAACCTTTAAGTTGGATTTCAACATTTAAGTGAATTTCTTAAAGTTCTTTTCAAGTATCATTGGCCCCATAGTTGGATTTCAACATTTAAGTGAATTTCTTAAAGTTCTTTTCAAGTATTATTGGCCCCATTTGTCCGCAACACCACTGCATAAATAAAAACACTTACTTTAAGGCAACTCATATCAAATATGAATTTTTGCAATAACTTAACTCAAAACACGCAAGACTCTCAAATTTTCAAAAAATCGTTTTTGACGAAACTGTTTCCTATGAAATGCTTTGACCAAACATTTCATCACATTGAGGAAATCGCTATTCTCTCCTGTTTAAGCATACGAATTTAGTCAAAAGGACAAATAAGTATTACATCATTGATTAGAAAATACAACATAGAATAAAAGTAAAACAAGAATTCTGTCACTGCCAGGAATTGAATGAGAGGAGCCAACTGGACAAGAAAGAGAACTAACCCCTGTATCATTTGTCATATAGAGCACACATAAAAAATATTGCTGGATTCCCAGATAGCACTGAGATGACATAAGAGTGAGGAGGAAGTTTCGTCAAACATTTGAGATTTCACGTTTTGTCAAAATTCACGTGATTTCGTGACAAAATAGTGATAGACAACTCAAGGATTGCAAGGATCTTTAGAACTGAGAGTAAATCATCAAAAATATTTATTCCTATCCTTTTTCATAGGTTAAAACAAAAGTTAAAATTTATATTTTTCCCACTATAAGTGAACTTGTTGAGTTAATGGATAATTCCTGGATTTTTTAATATCCTCGAAGGAATATTCTGCAACAAAACATTTATACTTCAAATTTTTACGGTGTAAGCATATGTTTTTTTTATTAGATAAAAGATATATTTTTATGGATGTATAGATTTTTTTATCTGTAGGTAATCTGTTGAGCTCGTTAAAAATTATCAATGGAAAACCAAATGGTTATCAAAGAAAAAAAAACGAGTTCTTCAAACAATTTAACGATTCGGTCATCAACTGAGTAGAAACTATTGTATAAAAAAGTAGCCAAGAGGAATCGAATAAAAAAAAGTATACTTCTTTTACTTCAACATTTTTTCAAGTGCTCAGTCACAGCTAAAGAAATCAAGTGAAGAAGCCAATATCGATTTTCGATTTTTGTTCCAAACACGCCATTTTGCGTTGAGACATTGATCATACAGTTAACGTGCCTCTCACACGCTCAACGTCTCGGATAGAGCAGACGAAGATTCGAGTATAAATAGTGCAGCGCAGAGACCGTAAATGGCCCAATTATGCAAGGATCGAGATTTAGGCACACAGAACTTTATCAAGAGTACAATCGATGCCAGAGCACTGATGTTACGATAATCGATTACTAAAAATCGATATTTTAGAAATTACTGCGTTTTGAAATGATTTAGGTAGAATATTTTTCGACAAGACGTGTAGAGAAAGTTAATAAACATGAGAATTTGCCTTAAATTAAGCTTATTTTGAGATAATTTAAATTGATGCATAAAGCACATGGATTTAAAGTTTTAAAAATAAAACAAAGCTTTAAAAATTGAAGCAAGAAAGCATTGAAGTACAAATAACCTAGGAATTGTTTGAACAAAAATCCCAACTTAATGACCTAAACGGGAAAGTTCGCATCCAGAAAATGATAACAACATGGAAAAAATATCGAAACTACGAAAATGTGTTGTTTTTTCGCGTTGATATCAAATTTCTAATAACCATGAAGAACTATTATTAGTCATTCTGTCTTCTTTCCCCGTTATCATGAGAATACATGCGTGCAGATACCTTATACCACATTAAGACGCAAAAATCAATTTTGGGGAGAATTACATTACTTACATTACTTTTTCATCAGAAAAAAAAAATGTAGAGTGCATTTAAATAAATCTGTTTTGCATTTATTTGCTTACCACTGGCACACATTTCTTTTGATATCTTTAAGGTTCTGTTAAACGAGTTTATATAAGTGATCTCAAAAAAGTATATCTAAATTCTGCATATTTTCATTTAGTTCTTAAAGAAGAAAGAATTTAAAGTAGAAAATAATAATTGAGTGAAAAGAAAACATTAAATCAAAAGATAAATGGGCTTCTGAAGCAAATATCAGAACAATCAGTAGAAAAAAACTTTACCCATGAGTCACCTGGAAAAAAACTCGAAGCACTATGACTACCACCGGTAAATATTATTTGGTTAATTTTAATGGAGAAAACATAATTTTTTTTGATGGTAAAACCTGCCAAGTGATATTGAATTACGGGTAATCCTCCAAATTCCATATAATTTACAGCTGAAGGTTTTTTTGGTTTCTTATTTTTTTATTTTAGATTCATAACATATTTACGAGTTTTTTTTTAAAAATAATACCTAAAAAAAAAAAAAAAGAGGATTTTCTCACAAAAAGGTATCTTACTAAGTTTTGCTTTGCATCATTTTGTTAAATATACTAATAAGGAAATAATCTACAAGGTTTAAGAAAATTTCTCATCAAACAGGTCTTGATGTTTTCTCTTGTAAGACATCAAAACGAAGGTAGTTTC